TTCTATGCTCTGAATGCCAAATAATATAATAATATAAAACAAATCTCATTTTCAGGACAGAGTTTACATGAAGCAGGTTATGACCACTGGGCACCGAACGAACCGAACGAACCAAACAACGTGGCTAATCGCGAGATGTGTGGCGCCCTCGACAGGAACAATAACGGCTTAAACGATTGGCCCTGCGGCGATATCTTACCGTTCGTCTGTGAACTATCTAATGTTAAAGAAAAGAAGCAATTGGAAAAAGCAATCAACATCCAAGAAATCTTTCAACTTTAAAATCAGTGTTAGCTGACAAATATCAACGGATATATATCTTGATATACCTATATCGATCGATATACATATACGTTGATACATATCAATTGATAATTATAATATTTGTTGTTAGTTTAAGTATTGAATCTCAGGTAGAAAATTAAACAACCTGATGCGATGCTGGCCACATTGGCCCGAAATAGCAATCTTACTTACTAGAAATTTCGGGTTTTCCCCTATACGTTACTGGAAATCCTTGCTCGCATACTACTTACTTACTTTTTAATTATTTTATAATAAATAAAGAAAATTAAATAACTCACACTTTATTTTAAAAATTAAAAAATATTTACAAAAGCCACTAGCAACTCAAAAGTCGCAGGCTTTCATATGCATGATATATATCAAATGTTGGATATATTGATATTTATTATAAATATCGGATTTTTGAAAAACCTGTTAAAAAATTTATATTCAAACAAGTGTCTAATATGTGATTGATTCATTTGTAAATATTTAAATAAAAACTAGCTGACCCAGCAAACCTTATTTTGTCTTGTCAATTTGGGGTGGAGCACCCCTATTATATAACCCTATGAAAACAACCTATTCTCAGACCTACTGAATTTACATATAAAATTTCATCAAACTCAAAAAAAGTATGCTAACTAAAACTGTGACACGAGAATTTTATTAATTAGAAAACGTTAAACTTTATTAAACACTAGCTTTTGCCCGCGACTTCGTCCGCGTGGTAGTTACTTTAAGAAGCATTTCTAACGAATATTTATTCATTATATCATGTTAAATACCTGAAATAAAGTTTCATCCCCTATTTTATGAAATTTATCAAAATCCTTTCTTAGAAGATGCCTACGTTATAGTAACTTTATACATGCACGTTCTCAGCCCGATCGGTTTAAAATTGACACAGTTTCATACAAACTTTCATCCCCTATTTATCCCCTTATTATCCCTTTGGGGGAAATTGATCAAAATCCTTTCTTAGCGGATGGCTACGTTATAACGTCTACCTGCATACCAAATTTCAGCCCGATCCGTCCAGTGGTTTGGGCTGTGCGTTGATAGATCACTATGTCAGTGAGTCACCTTTGAATTATATATATTTAGATTTTAGATAATGTATTTTTTTTATAATTAACTGTACTATTCATATTCCACATTGTAATAAAACATTAATAAATGATAAAACATTAATTTGTGCATTACATTAATGATGTGAGAAAAACATTGAATCAATTAGTAAGGAAAACACTTTTCGGGTCTGTGATCTCGCAGATAAAAGGCACCTGTTCAGGACACAATATGTCGTATAAACCAGAATTGTCTCTCGCAATAGCCCCGCACTGTTCCTCCAACACATTAGGCTCACCACTGGCCCACCGTCCGTAACCACTGTCCTCAAGTCGTTTTCCTAAAACATAAATTAACACAATAGTAAAAAAACAACATTACACAACCTTGCTCTGAAAACTTCATGAATTAATCATCAGCCCTTTTACGTTTCCACTGCAGGGTGAATAGTACCCAGGTAGGCAGGACTTCCTTGTGATTGTTCAAGGAGGATGGGCCATGACCCTTCTATTATCGACTGAACATGCAGCACCAACAGCTTAACAACGGCTTCACATGCATTCACATGTATAATATTTTTTGATCGACCATCCCGTTTTTTGCGAAAGTTGCTTAACAGCAAGGATCGCGAGTTACTTTAGCCTCAATTCTGTTAATTTTTACAGGATAAACGCATCTTAATAGAGTCCCAACTATTTTCATTTTGCCATTGTACTACCTACCCGAAGTCCAACATTGTTATAGGTGCAATGTCTTATTGAAATATATCATTTATTAGTTTGTGATCTACCAAAAATAACTGTGTCATAAAGAGTTCTAGTTAAAGCGCTATTGAGTTTCCGTAATTACGCTAATACATATTAGTAGAATTGCTTTATTTATTTTAAAAAATCTGAGACAGCAAAATTTAAATAACACTCGGAGACAAGCTCATTGGTGTCTTATTTAACTACTGTACATATATGCTTGGTAAATTGCTACAAAATAAATATAAAATTCTGTGTGTCTCAAATTAAAACTTAGCTGCCAAACCAAAATCACAAGTATTAAGAAAGCTAGAAAGAAAATTTTCTTTTACTGGACTGGATCTCGAATAGACAAATAAACGAGCCAAAACTTGACAAGATTACATTAATTTATTACAAAGTTCAAAACCACCTTTAAGTCCCAATCTGGTTATTATATCAGTATCGGCCCAATGAAATTCTAAACTCAAATGAAATCTACATCAAAAGGTTATATTTTTATTTCGATTTACGACGAGTTCGAGGGTATTTTTTAACGGAATAGCATTGCCGATATTGGAGGCTAAGGAGTTATTATCATGTAGAAATACGTACCGTCAAGGGTGAACCAGAAGGCGCGGTCCACACCAAGATTGGTAAAACCGATGTGTAAGAACGCTGCAGCGTGACGTACAGTGTTTGGATTACAGTTTATAGGCTTCTTTGAGTACCTAATAATAACATCATTATTTATATTCTTAATGAAAACGCTTGAAAAAATCCATCAGCCCCCGGCACTCTGAGATGGGCCTCGAACCCTCGACCTTTCGCAATCTGGGCGACTGCTCTAACCGCTAAGCTACCAAGGACCTAACTGGACTGACGAATTATTCAAGCACTTATTACTTTTCGCTACTAGTAAGCGTATAATCTATGCAAACACGGAGCGCTGAAACTATGTATTTGACTTGAAAAAATAACAGTAAGTCCATGAGCTGCTAATGTAAGTTCTTATAAATCCGAACAACAAAGCAGGGCCGGATTAGCCACGTAGCAAAAGTAGCTAATGCTACGGGCCCCGCCTGTTTGGAGTCTTTTACACCCCTCCAATTGGGAGCCTTTTACATGAGATCATAAATTCTACAAAGTTAAGATAATTAAGCAAAACAAAAAAGATACACACCAGTCAAATATGAGTTTCGCCTCGCGCTCGCTGTTCAGTATTAGTAGGTGACCACCTTCAGCAGAGCAGATCATATGAGCTCGTTGCCACATCACGCAGTCTCCATGGTACTTGTAGCAGCTGCCCGACTCGGGATCCAGCTCATATCCTGATGATGGTAATAAAACAGAAATACCTATGACATTTTAGATCTCAAAATTCTGATCACTATAGAGTTATATTTATAAGTAGCTGTTTTCTCTTAATTTCACCCACGTAATATGTAGCTTCCCGTAGGTGAAAGAATTGTCATTATCGAATAGGAACAAAACAAAGTTAGAAACTTTAACAATACAGAATAATACTTCCACTTATCAGCTACTTACCTTTAGCGTAAGTTCCACATTCGCTAGACACATTTTCATTGCCATCCTTTAGCTTGTAACATATATATGGAAGTATATCATTATCATGAACGTCGGCGAAGGTGCCGTCTTGTAGAATAGCCAGACTGCGCTCCTTGTGTTTCAAGTTATTAGGCTCCCCCTTTGCCCACTGGATAGGCATATGCAACAAAGGTACTCCTGTAATAAATAAACAAAGTATTTTGCACCGATTAATGATTATGAATCTTTAAATATACTTGAATAATTTTGGATAAATGATTATTGTAATCACCATCATAAGCTTCCGCCATAGATTTATATTCAACATCATCTGTTCAGTCTAATCTGTTAGCGCTTGTGAATGTCGGAAATTACGGCGGAAGACATTGTACTGAAAAACTGGCAAGAGTCGTAGGTAGTTAAAGGTACGAAGGTCATTAGAAAAATCATCAATACATGAACGCTGTACACTTAGAAAGTGAGCCAAATTCAATCAGTCACTGAATTGGTAATGGTAACACTAACACTCATGCTTAAGATTTAGAATGATAAATGTTTGATTCAATATAAAATAGCATAACCATACTTACCTTCCATGGAATAGTAGTCTCCGGCGGAGTCCATCATGTGCACGCCCGTGAACACTGGCCCAGACTGCACTAACATCAGACTTTTAATCACAGCGTACAGTCGATCGTTGATAGGAGACGCCAAATTGCCTCCTATTCAAAGAGCCATTTCTGATTTCATGAATACCAATAATCGAGTACCAGTTGAAATAATCACATTCATAACTGTCGATAATCTTAATAGATTAATCGACAATTCGAATTTAACAATTTGTTTGCAATAAAGAAAAATAACACTACATTGAGCATTATTTCCTGGCTTTTAACAAATTACTTAAAACTATTATGCTTCAATTGTAAACACAATTGTAAAATGTAAATAAATATACTACATTACAAGTTATTGAAAAATGCTCAATTGGTGTGTAGAAAAATTAAAAAAAATAGAATTGCGCAACGGCACCGAAGTGTGAAGCAGTAGTCCAAGATGTATACAGCTCAGTGTTGAATGTTCCATACAGGAACATACACCGATTTTCAGCTGTACCCTTCTCGTTTGGCCGCTAGCGTTGCCATAAAAATGAAATGTGGAGTGAGAATACAAAATGTTTCCAATGTATTATTCAATAATGAAACATAATAATAGATAAATATTATTCTTACACCAGTACATAGCACAGACACATGTATCCCTCTTTGGCTCTAACTAAGAAAAAAACACAAATTCATAAGACGCTACTGTGACCACTTGTATACTTGATTTTACTTAAAGAAAAACAATAAGTTAAATCCGGTTTACTCTTTACTTTTTGAGAGCTTCTTTTGCTGCAATCTCAGCAGCTTCCTTCTCTTTTCTTCTTTTCTCTATCCTCTTCCGTTTCGCTTCTGCTTCAGCTTTTTCCTTTATATCATATGCGCCGGATACTAAATCTTCTATGTAGACCAAACCTAAAAAATACTTAATATTTTTAACTCATCACAAAATGATCAATGGTATGTACTTGTAGTATTAAAGACAATGCAAAGGAGAATGGGCAAATGTGGTTTCGCTTTGTGACGATATCAAACCTCTTTTAAAAAATAAGTTTTTAATTTTACCTAAATACCTTAAAATATGTAGCCCTAACTTTGACGGAGTATAATATGTTTAAAATAAAGGAAGGTAACTGATTTTACTACTTCTCTAAAATATCCACCATTTTTATGTTTTTTTTAATGTTGCCAGTATTCAAAATCTACATAAATTATGTAAATCGATATTGTATTTGAATAGGCAAGAGCCCTGAAACATGAAAGACGAAAAAACGTTTAAAAAGACAAAATAATAATAAATTGTTTTTGACCTAGTCATATGACACGATTTTTAGACAATAGTTTCTCGCAAGGTTTTTGTAACGAAGTTCCTTATCGCGCGGTACGCTGGCTAAGGGGGCTAGGCGAGCGTCACGAATAATCCTCACGACACTTTTGCTATAGTGCGTAGCGCTTAGAGAGGGGGCAGGCCGAGTATAGGATAGGATAGGATAGCATAGGATAGGATAGGATAGCACAGGCCAGCACAGCCTAGCACAGGCGAGCACAGGCAGACACAGGCGAGCACAGGCTAGCACATGCGAGCACAGGCTAGCACATGCGAGCACAGGCGAGCACAGGCTAGCACTGACAAGCACAGGCTAGCACATGCGAGCACAGGCAAGCACAGGCTAGCATTGGCAAGCATAGGCTAGCATAGGCAAGCTTAGGCTAGCATAGGATAGCATAGCATTCAGTTCGGTTCTGTTGTGGGTATACGCATAATAAATAATGTGGGTGTCTATCAGAACGTTAAGATATTGCTGATGAAGTTAGGTAAGTATCGATGTTATACAGACATTATGCTCTACTTTCATACAATAATACTAATGCTACATATACAAGTCTCGTTTAAATAATTTTGAATGCGTGTGAACTTCGTTCCAATCGACATGTGGAATCCACATGTGGAATTTTTTATATTTAGTTTACATTTTGAATAACGCTTTTTGTTATATGCTAGCAGATGAAATGGAGGAACTGCTTTAAAATACCTGCGAAGCGAAAATGAGAGACGACAGAATTTCTGGATGAAACAACAGGATGAAACCTTATGAGCGGAATCGATTCATTGAGTTTCAGTGCTGCCAAAACAAAACATATTAATATAAAAACTGTTTTAAATCCCCCAACATGTTCATTAGTAATTAATAACCTATGCTCTATGTCAGTTAATAGTATATTGTTGAGTAAAAATATTTACATTGTTCATTATTAAGAACATAAATAAATAATTAGTTTTAATGATTTAATCGAATCAAGTCGATTAAAAATAGTCGATTTATAACATTTTTAGAATAGTAATAATGACATGCATGACCCGCTAAATGAAAGGCATACATTGACACAATTGACAGCTGTCACTACAGTATTTCCTTTCGTTCTGTTAAGTTCGTTTGTTGAATGCTTTAGTGATTTTTTCTTTCTTTAAGTTTTACGTCGAGTAATGTCATGTCAGTGCTTTGGTATTTAGGTTGGGGTAGATATAATGATTTAACTGCCCCAGCTCAATTCCTAGACGACATTTTTGATGAATACACATACGAAAATGAATAACTCCCTTATGTCAAACATGTCCAAAACATTTCTCGTTTGCTTGGAAAACAGCAGAATCACTATATATATAAATATGATACCCAGTAATTGCACTGAAAATCTAGAAGACAAAGTCAAAACATACTAACCGGTTTCAATAACATTACCTATTACTTGATGAACTTCAGCAGCTTATTTCGCATGAATCCGTCGAATTAGAGAAATTATTTTTTTTGTCATTGAATCTAAGGCCAAAACCCTACAAAATGATGGTTTGTAGGGTTTTGATGGTTTTAAAGTTTCATCATGGCACAAAAAAAAAATTTGAAACGAAACTCCATACATCATTGCACATTCTCCTTTACGCTTGTCATTATTCTAGAAGAAGAAGGAGAAGAACGATACAGGAAAGAAGACAAACCGCTAATAAACAATAAATCTATTTATTAGCGGTTACTATATTGATAGATGACTATGTGTGCCAAATAAATAAATTTGATTTCATTTATTGTCAATCGCTGATCAAAATAATTATAAAGTATTAGAATAATGATCATGACTTATAAATAAATATAAATATAGTTAAAGACGCTAAATTAAAATATATTAAAAAAGCATAAAAACATTATAACTATGATTTAATTTCATAGTATCACGGTTAGAGCAATAGGCTTCCGAAATGTAACTCCTGATTATATTAAAATTTTATATTTTTACTATGAACGAGCATTACCTTTTTGAAGCTTGTGCTTCTCTTTTTCTAACCGCTCGCTCTCTAACCTCTCTCTCTCCCTTTCCTGCCAAGACTTGGGAGGCGGGAACTGCAACTCTCCGTTATCCCCCAGAGGCCCGTAAAGCTTGGGTGGAGGACGTCTCTTCGGTGGCATGTTGATCAAACGCATTGATTTTGTGGCAGGGGTATAGCAATTACCTAACAATTACAATCTTATCAAACAGTTACAATACTTATAAATCGGTGAAGTGTGGGTGAACACGCAGTCGGTTGTATGGGAGTCTACTTAAATATTTATTTTATTCTGTTCTGTTTTTTTTAGTATTTGTTGTTATAGCGGCAAAGGAAATATATTATCTGTAACAATTTCATTATCTAACTATCACGTTTTATGAGATATAACGATGGTGCTTTATGAAGGAAAATTATTTACCTATGGAGTCTACAGGTTTAGCATGATCAAAGCTGTCGCGGTAAGGGACACCGCGCGTCCAAGACTTCGCCTGCATCAGCGGTGGAAACTCACTGCAGCCTCCGTCACCTTCACCTGTGATGAGATTGTATCTTTAAACATTAAGGCTCAACGAGAATTCGGAAAATTTCCAATCGTTCTTATAATTTAGTAAAAACCATTTTCGTGAAGATTATTTGTACATCGGAGCCTGCGCCGGCTCCTACCTCCGTTGCGTCATAAATTATCGAAAAATGGATTTCTTTAGAGTCATAGCGTTTCGAAAGTAGACAAATATTTACTTACCCAGAAAGAGAGTAAGCCTAGACGGGTAATTAATATAGAAAACGGCAAATACATCCTAAATATTTAGATGTGGGTTTGATACGATGATAATGAAAGAAAGAAAATAATACCACATATAGAAAGAAATAAAACTTGAGCGCCATGCTGAAGGAAAATTTCATAATGAAAAATGAATCAATATTTGGGTTTGCTATTTGCTTGTAAGCAACTTGAACTACAGAAACATCGCTAATTTTCTTTAAATTAAAATTAACTGTGTTAAATGCGGTAGGCAGTACAAAAATCGGCTTGTTAAAATTTGTTACACTGATTGTATTTTTTGTAACATTAGAATAGTCCGGTAAATTTTACTATAATTTTAATATAAGTAGCATAAATGAGCCACGAGCAGAGCAGACACCCGTGAAGGAATCAGATGGACTTTATTATTTATAAATATGGTATTACTACCTTCAGGGTAGTAGTTCTTGGCAGCCTGCAGCAGCACGCTGTCTTTTTCTAGTTCATCATCATATCCCGCACGAGTGATGCTGGCGAGAGTAAGCTGCGAGCGAGCACCTCCTGTGAACCGAGGCGGGCATCGCTTCGCATCGCTCGCTTCGCTTGTAACGCTCGCACCGCTCGCACCGCCTCGGGTACGTTTCCGCGCCCCTCTACTGCTTGCCATCTATGCCACCAATAGTTCTTTGGCGAAATTTTCGGGTTTAAAAATCAGATTAAATGTAAAAACAGTTTTATTGGTCTGCGTAAACCTTCAACTTAGTTTTTGTATGCACTTAAAAAGGTATATATTCATCATAATTATAGTATTTATTCAGCACAGTTATTACATGTTTCTTACACTATTAGAATAGTAAATGCAAGTTTTTTTTTATTCTCAAACTTTAATAATAATATAGATTTCTAACAGGAAAAGGAATCGAATACCGTAAAATGGTTAAATACAAAAATACATCGGCGTGCAAATCTATGGAACAAATATATATCTGAAGAAACCGAGAGTGATTTCCAGTGAAAACTCCTGAGATTTTATCGGAGTTTGGAATGAAAGCAAAAAGATTACTCAAACATGAGTACCTCTATATATGATTAAATAGTTTTTTTTTTCTAAATTTTGTGCATTTAAAAGACTAAAGCTAATTAATTATTTTAACTAGTTTCTTCTTAGAGATTACAATGTTAAACAGACACAGGTTAAAATAATAGTGAAATTTTTTTATTCTATTGATCATTCCTAGCGATTTTCAAAAACTGTCTGCAATCCCGAAAAGTGTAATAATTCAGAAATCTAGTACAAACTCTGTAATCAGGACTAAACTTTCAAAGCAATCAAGTAACATTAATATATATTTTTACGTGCAACATACATACTTATTATTTCTTCAAAAACTTGTATTTATATCTATTTCATAAACTTTAACATTAATTTATTATTTAGACACTTATTTTGTCATACATAATTTTATAAAAATACTATTATTCTTTATGTGCACTTGTTGGAACGCTATTGACAACTGAAATAAACATTGCCATGGCAACGAGAAGCGGTTTCTATGGTTACAAAAAATCCTTTGATAAATTAGCTGGTGAGCAAAGAATATGTATGTATATATATATCCATACTGTAATTTACTTTGTACAAACATAATTAAAAATTCAAAGGTACAAAATGTTTACCTAAAAGAAAAAAAAATCCTATATATATACATTGATATTTAAGTGTATTATTGATTGTAGATAAACATTTCATTATATAAAAAGAAAATAATATGTAAAATTATGATTTATGGTATGTTCAAATATAGCGGTAACTGTAGGTGAATTTAAATAAATAAAGGCAAATACTCTCAAAATATAAAATCATTTGTCCTGTAAATATCTTTGATTATAATTATTATGATCAAAACGGACCATAGATGAAAACCAATCTATGGTCAGTACAGTTATTTTTGGAGTCTTTTTAAACTTCAGTCTGCTAAACTGTAAGTTGTAAACTATCTTCGCTTTGTTTACATGAAATACAAAAACAGAAGATTATAGGTCGGTGATGTCGCAGAGTTTATCACCAGGCAGCAATTTCTTTTTCAGATTCCTGAGAATAATGTTTTTGAATTGATTTTCCTGTTCATTTTCCTGTTGTTATCTCAAAATAACGAATATATTTTGGGTCGGGGTTAAAATTAAGAGCCATACAGCCAGTTGCACAAACATCCATTAAGGTTTAATGACACCTTAAAGCTCCAATGAACGTCAAAATTGTATGGGTAATGTCACTTTAAACTAATGAGAACTTTAACGGACGTTTATGCAACTCACTGGTTGTAATATTTTTTGATAGGCACCCGTTTCTGTTCAATTCAAATGGTTTCCAAGACATTTGATTTTGAAATTTCGTGGCCTGGAAAATCTATAATGACTCATAGGAAAATCAAAAAATGAAACAAATTTCATTGAAAATCTCTGTTTTTAAATTTTAATTCAACAATCTAAGTCAGAAATTATTAATTTGTTCTTTATCTAAATTTTCTCAAAAAATGTTTCCAAGGGGATCTCTTTTTTATGGACTGCTTTGTAGTAGGGGTTGTGTTAATCTGAATGGAGTGACCTTCGAAGTGTGGTCAAGTTTAACGAATCAGATGTGGTTTGAGAAATAGAAGAAGCTGATTATTGGTAGGTGAAGGTGGTGGAGACGAATAAACAATGCCTTGTTGATCTGTGTTGTTCGTAATTTCCCAAGAGCTTGTTTCTGCTTGCGATAACAATTTTGTTAATGATCGATTTGATCGTCTTGTTAATCGAGCAATGATATCGTTTCCAGGAGGCTTCTTTCTGGTGACAGCGGGAGAAATTGATAAACTTGCAGCTGGAAAGTCGTTACCACTTACAGAAGTAGAAAGTCTTAAAGGATTATTGTCACTTATTGGATTCTTTAATATTGGTAGCTCGGTGGCGTAGTGGATAAGCGCCGCGGCCCGCAATCGTTTTTGTAAAGCAACTTTCGTGAGGGTCGGTCACGGGATGGGTGACCAAAAAAATATTTTCTCGGGCTACTCCATGCTGCGGAAGGCACGTTAAGCCGTTGGTCCCGGCTGCATTTGCAGTCGTTAAAACCCTCCAGTCCGCATTGGGCCAACGTGGAGAGTCATGGCCCATCCTCCTTAACCATCCATAAGGAAGGCCTCAGCCCCTGCAGTGGGGAGGTAAAAAGGGCTGACGATGATGATTGGATTCTTACACAATACCTGTTGGTCTTCCCCTTCTAAGTTTACTCCAATCGAATCATTGTTTTCTTACAGATGTCTCATATTTTCTTTAATTTATTCTATTCGAACTTTGACGATTCTTCGTCCTCAATTTTTTTTGTTGTTGGTATTATTTTCCGGATTATTTTCTGTTTCAGATATTTTTCCTTTAGCTTAGCCTTACACTGAGTATAATTTTTTATTAGTTCGTGTAGACGACGTTCTGCTTCTCTCTTTTTCAAAATCTCCTCTTTCCTTTGCTTGCTTCAGGGCATTGTGGTATAAAAAATATGAATTCAAGTAATAAATATATGTATTTTGAGGTGATTATTTGTTGTTGCCTTCCATGACAGAGCCGAGGTGGTTTTTATTTGACTTAGTACTTATCTTTTGAAATGAAAGTCAATTTTCAGTCATTTGAAAAATAAAGAAAATATTAAATTAAGTCTTCTTCTTTATAATTTTACACCAAAATTATAGTTCAAACTTTATTTGAAAAAATACCTGACAAATGAACGTAGTTAAATATACGAGATATCCTTCCTGACATCCAAAATTGAGCCTCTCAGGAATCACCCTCGAACATCTGAACCCTCATTTAATTGTTAATATTGGGTAACTGTCAGATACTCAAACATTACGGGTGAATGTTTCCACAACACTATAACAAGTATCTATTTCGTCCATTCCATTTTCCGTTATGTCGTCTTTTCTATATTTATTAACAAATATTATAATGTGTCAGATCGGAAACTATTCGTATTTAATGGTATTTTGGTATTTTAAAATTACAACAAATTACACCCTACCCTATTATAACTGTCTACTGTGTATGCATCTCACTCTCGACCCGAGAAAGTGACATTTGGGTGAAGACAAAGCGTTTCTCGAGTTTGTCATGATACACGTGCTGTATTTAAACCAAATAAAGTGGAATAAAGCTTCTTTTTCATCGTCGTATACTCTTGTTAGGACAGTCGTGTTCAGGCATGAACTGTGGTAGCACCACAGCTCTCCACCTGTTCCGCACCGAGGCTTGGTGAGGATTCTTACACCGTAGTCGTTCACAGATACGATTCAATTAAAATCAAAATTATTTTTCAGTCTAGGCTGTTACAAGCACTTGTGAAAGTCGAGAGCTACGCCATCGGTTCGTAAATCGACAGCGGGAAACCTTGTACCGAGAAGAACCGGCAAGAAACTCGGCAAGGGCTGCTTTTTTCTCCCTGTTTTATGTCATACAGAGCGTCAAGTTTGAAAAGTGACTACATTAAAATATGAAGTCACTTTCCATTACAATATTAGAAAATATAAGAGTAAAACAGTATTTTCGTCACACATGAAAAATGAGCCATATTTAACACCAAGCAGTTTTATAATTATATTTAACGGAGTCTTGTTCGTGCATTATTTTGAAACTATTTATTTACCTCGACGTTTCGGCTACTTTGCAGCAGCCGTACTCAAAGGGTACATCAACAAATCTGTTAAAAATATTATTACCGGATTATCGTCACGCCTCAACTTAAAGCAGAAGACGACACCCGCCAGTTTCTCCAGTCTCCTCGTGACCACGGCTGATGCAACGTAGCCGAAACGTCGAGGTAAATGAATAGTTTTAAAATAATGCACGAACAAGACCCGATTACATATAATTATAATGTATACAAATCGTGTGAGTTTAAAAACTAAGCATTTTTGTCGTTTAAATATTGATTTACAGTATAATATTCTTTACTGAGTAGACAGTTCTTAATATGGGTTTTCAACTTAGATAATGGTAAATTTAAAATTTCCATAGGAATTTTGTTATAGTGTAAACCTTGACCCATAAATGACGATAGAACCTTCTTTAGCCTGCATGTCGGCAAAACAAGTTTATCTTTGTTTCTAATAAAGTTACGTTGAAATTTAACAGTAGCAGTAGATTAATTTCATCATCGCCAATCGTAAACTCTTTCATCTACCTATATTCACATAAATAATATTGGAGTGTCTGTTTGTAATATTAAATTAAGCACTTTTTACTAAATGCAAATGTATGTATAGACGGTACTTAAAGGAAAATATCATTTTTGCATTTTTTGTCTGTCTGTTTGTTTCGGATAATCTCTGAATCGGCTGAAATGATATTGACAAGACTTTGCTGGCAGATGGCATATGTAATAAGGAGTAACTAAGGCTACTTTCCACGCGAATAAAGTCGCGGGCACATCTAGTTATAAAGAAAATGCAAAGAGAACTCTTATATTAGAGTGTGATTTTAGTCTATTAATCCGTCACGTACGCGTGTAATGGACACAGTGCAATCAAAATCAGCCCAATTTTAAGTGGTAACCGTTTTAAAGAGATAACCGATTTCGTATCTATAAATAGGATGAACGAAAAAGACACGCTTTATTGTACAGATATTTCCTTTGGTGATACAATGGCGAATCGTAGTTACATTGAAGTAATTGTTTTGTGTGTATTAACAATTATAGTGAAAGAAGGATTAGCAGGTACCAGTGAACATTTAATTTAATACCTATCTCTGAAAAATAACAATTTTGAAAAAAGAGAAATTTTATCCGAACTATTTTATAAATATTATCATCTTTGAAGAAAACTACATTTTATATTTACACGTTATTAAAATAGTAATTGTTTTATTATATTATATAAATATAATTTGCTCGGTCCTACGTGGCCTTATTATGTAGATATAAACATACATAAATTACCTAAATTGGTTTAGGTAAGTTTTAATTAGATTTCTTGACCATTCAAATCAACAATCGTTCCAAAAGCAATTGCGACTTTAAAAGTTATATACTTCCATAAATTTCAATCACAATCGCTACACCTTTGAGAGGGACTGCAATATATTTCAACAATTAGCCCACTGGTCTGTGTGCAGGCGCTGTACTGATGTCACCTATCAACTACCAGCTGTACTCGGCTATGAAGAGTCTGATGTTATCGCGCAATAATGCCTCCTTCACAGGCGTAAACTCACTCACCCACACAGGCGACTACAAGTCTATCGAAGGTACAAACGATACACAAGAGATTACAGCGTTAATATCAACCTTTGAAACTTAGTTAAACTTCAAAATAAGTTCTATGGTCGACTGGTACAATATGCAAATACATATGTTTTGTTTATGTATGTCAACGTAGATTATTTTTTCATTCAGTTTTTGTTTTCAGCTCAAACAAGCATTTCAAACCATTATACTTTTTATCCCTCGTCTAGAATTTCAGCCGGTTACTTTTGCAATATCTTTGCGATTTGTAGACCGATTTTTTAAACCATAACAAATATATCGAAATATTATTATATTGGAGTTATATCTAGTATTTGTTTTATTATATTATATAAATATAATTGGCTCGGTCCTACGTGGCCTTATGTAGATATAAATATACATAAATTACCTAATATTAGCCGACAAAAATTGTCTTATACAAATTTCAATGAAACTAATAATTTTCCAAACTTCAAATTAGGTAAATATTAGAAAAACTTCACTAATATTTACCAAATCCGCTCGCCAACAGATGGAATTTTATTGTTATGTATTACATTATTTGGTGGAAATTTGAATAGGGGAGGGTGAATTCCGTCTCGACTACACGTACAGTCCTGAAGCCAATGGATGGATCAAATTCCACGGAGTGCCGGCTACCTGGTTCGAGGCAAGACTCAAGTGCTACTATGAAGGTAATTATATTTTTCGAAAGTGCCAGTGAGACATTTGATGTTTTATCATAGAGTATAATCATATATATAATAAATAAGAAATCATCCTAAGTAACAGTTATTGTGTCACTTACACCCA